CGCGAAACAAAATGATAAGGAAATTGAAAAATCGAAAATGTCGCTAATGAGGGAGAGATGGTTGGTCGAAGTGGCTTTTTGAGTTGAGATGTACACTGTTTTGTAAGGGATATGGAACGCTGATTCCAAATATGCCTTCGCTATTTGCTGCGGATTTCTGTGCGAGGAGCTGTGAAGGTTTTTGGGAGCCGTAATCGGGCAGTTGCACACAAATACAATCGAGAGCACTATACTTGGGTAATTCGAAAATTTTTCATCGAATGAATGAATTCCGAATAAATTCGGAAAATCAAAAATATCGAATGAATGAATATTGAATATATTCGAACATTGGAAGTCGAATTTCGAATAAATATTCGAATGATTTATCGATTAACTAGAGCAACCATATCTCAAACTTGCCGACATATCTGGCTAAAGCCGATCCATTCATAATCAGCACCCTTTTATCCCCTATACCAACTCCTAGCTCAAAAATTTCCAAAAATAGCTTAAATCGATAAAATAGACTTCGGTTTTAATCAGCACCCTCATTTACCCCCCCCCCCCCTCCTTATACCAACTGCCAACCTTGTAGCTCGAGATTTTCCAAAAATCGACAAAATTGATAAAGTAAATCTTTATTCATAATCAGCGCCCTCACTTAACCCTCTGTATCAACTCTGAGCCCTCAGCTCAAACTTCTCCAAAAATTGATGAAGTTGGTCGGTTAGCAACTAGTCTATACATCAGCAAGAAGTCGTATTTTACCCATTATTGGACGATCTAAAAAAGCAGTCGATATAAATTTTGATCAAAACTCATTCTAGAAGTACAGAATGCAGGGCATTTATCTTTTTAGTAAGTTGTACACGCTAAGCATTTGTGGTAAGCGGGCGTTATATTTGAAGACATCTCGTAATTGGCAAATCGCATACGGCGATCTAAACCGTCTAATCCTCCACCACAACTGCGATTCCTTTGATCAAAATCACAAATTCGCAAAAATTCTCTAAGGTAGCGAATAGAGGCAGTTGTGCAATATAACTTAAGGGCCGGTCATACCGGTCAGCGATCCATCGCCGCGATGGATGATCGTCGCGACTGGGTGGAAACTAGCGATGAAAACGCGCGACGGATCGCTGATCGCTCGAATAAGGGGGCATACCACCGCGGCGATGTGTGCATTCTCACACTACGTCACTTAAATCACTTTCGCAGAAGCTCACCTGTCTAATGTAAGTCGAGCTACATGTTTGAACATTCTTGTTCCTTTTCTTTTTCTGGAGATTCTTCAACAAATCCATTCCTGATTATCTGACAGTCATGAATCCAGTGCAGATTAGCCGCGGAATATGTACAACTAGCTCCTGAGAGTTGACAAACAAAAGTCATGCCCGTGATGAGGATACTGAGGTAATAAAGAACACAAAGAAACATTATAATGGTTAATAGTAGAGCCGTACCCACGAAACACACATCAGTTGAAAACCAGATAGCTGGCAAATTTGGGAAGTGTGCAAGGCATTTAGCGTGAGTGACAATTGCTGATAAATCAAAAGGCTTCCATTTCACGAATGCACTTTGACAAATCAAAATGGTTTCCAATCCCCAGACACGAGACCAGCTTAAGAAAGTAAAGAACAATCATAAAACTTTCCTGGAAAGAGATCCTAATCCTAGCGATCCATCGCGTCGCGCATTTGAAATGAGCGACGTGAATTCGCTAGGATGAGCGACGATCGTGGCGATTCCGCTCAAATCGGTATGGCCGGGTAGAAAACGGCCAGCGATGCATCGCGCCGGGACAGCCAGCACAGATACGCAGTTATCTCCGGCCTTGTAACACTTGTCCTTGGGGAAAGTCGGCGACGCGATGGATCGCTAACTGGTATGACCGGCCCTTTATGCGAGCAAGACTGCTCACTAGTGTGGACTTGGCGTACCACAAGCATGAGCAATGCAAAGAAAGAAAAACAGGCATTTCAAAACACTTCTAATATATAAACTCGGAACATGAGCTTGAATTCGATAGCTTCTTTGCTGATTTGGTGCCAACAGGAACAATCTTATTGATCGAAAAAGCACCAATTAAAATCCACATATGATTTTTTTACTGTCGCAAGCAGTCGAAAAAATGCGACTCTCCATACAGTTCAAAGATCACAACAGCTGCAAAAGATGCATTACCTAGTTTTGCGAAAAAAAAAACGCGGACGAAGTGAGCTTGCTAATACTCAGCAGATGGCTCTGCAACAAAGTCGAATAATCTGAATACGGAGTTCATTCGAATACGGATTCGATTAAACATTCGAATAAAATCTATTCGAAATCCCGTTTTTTGATTATTCGAGTTTTCGAATAATATTCGAATCCTCGTTTTTTGATTATTCGAGTTTTCGAATTTTATTCGAAACCTTGTTTTTTGATTATTCGAGTGTCGAATTTTATTCGAAACCCCGTTTTCTCAATTATTCGAGTTACGAATATTATCCGAAAATGCAAGAACTTTGAATATCGAATTTCGAATACGAATTTCGAATGTTTTATTCGAATGATCGAATTTCTATTCGATTCGGACCCAAGTATAGAGAGCACTAAAGCATTGCGTGCCTAGTGGTGTAATGGCTATCGTGACCGTTTCTGATCCCAAGTGCTAGTCTCATGTTGTGCTCAGTGTATGACATTTTGCAATAAACACCATACGCGAGTTTTGTCTGTACTCAGTCTTGTACCTCTTTTATCGTAGACTTGAACCGGCTATCTAGCATTTTCGGAGATCCAAGAAGGGTTGATAACGGAGGTAAGAGCCAACAAAAATCAGACATGTATAACCTCGGGAACATAGCGAGATTATTTTGATGCACTGCACACCCAGGGGATTAGATTTTGAAACGCCCGTACGGTACCGCTGTTCCATCTTGATTGAAGATTAGGATTACACAGACACTAAAGTACTCATTTGCTGCTCTCACTATGATATATGCTTTGCTTTGCGCTCTGTGTCCTCTGATTTCATAAGTGCTCATATTTCAAGAGATATTCTGTGCACAAAAACACTCTCAAAGAATGAAGCTTGCAAGGAAAGAAGTAAAAGATTATGCATAGACGAAGCTCGCGTTTACATGAATTTATTGCTAAAATGCAAAATATAAAGGCGGACACTTGGGAGATTTGCCTCAGAAACCATCACACTAGCCATTAAACCATTAAGCACATAGCGCAGTGTCGCGGCTGTATTTGTGTGCATTTGCCCGGTTTCGGCTCTTGAAAACCCTCGTAGCTCCTCGCCCAGAAGTTCGCAGCAGATAGTGAAGGCAGATTTAAGATTGACGTTCCAAGCCCTACAAGGCTGTATAAATTTATACCAAAGGTCACTTCGACCAACCTTCTTTCCTTTGTTAGCTGGATGAGGCCGCACTCGCGCGAATGCCTCACGTGCAACGTTGCAAAGTGGGTGCGGGATACCGAAGGCAGCTCGGCGCGCATGTCGACAATGACGGCGAGTTTTGGCGGCAGGGCTTTGTAGCATAATGGACGTCCTCCTGATTGAAGACACTGAAAACTGCTTCGGCTCGAGTAGGTCGTGAGGAGAAAATTTCGAATCATATCCGTGTTGTCATTTTTGGATATCCTAAACAAGACTTATAGCAAACCAAGTATTGCCAATTCGTTGACCACACGAAGTGACATCACTGCGGAGCACGCATCGCGAGCTCAAACGCTTGTCTCAGTACAAATTTGCCATTGTCGTATTGTCTCACATTTTAGCCGCGCCGCATATGGTCCGCAATGTTTGAGCAGTCCGTGGTAAGAAATTGATGATATCTCAGTTTGTATGGGTCTTGTGTTACTATTTGATACGAGTTACAATACTCGGTAATTGCTGTTCGTAATTTTTACAAAACTAAGTTATATAAAAAGAATTAGCTGGCTTTCCCCGTCTCGCCCAGGTCACGACCTCAATTCGTCTGGCACGGTAGCATAGCATATCTTTATGCATTGAAGATAAAGCTTTTTTTCCCCGAGCACCCTTTAAGTCTAGCTTCCTTCCTAGTCTCTTCCTCCATCCTTCGGTCCCCTCCCCCCCCCCCCCCTAACCAACAAACAATTACGCTGCGCTGCAGGGGTCACTTTACCAACAACAACTCGCCCGTCATAGGATTTGCCTTGAATTATCGTATCTTTTCCAACGCAAACTCAATTTGAGCTTGATAAAAGCCTGGCGCATCGACTTAAAAACAGCCGATTTTTTGGCGGGTAAAAATATATGTGAAATTTCAGCTGAATCGGTTCACACACGAAGAAATCTATTGAAAAAATAGAATACAGTTTCTGCACTCACAAGCAGACTCTCTGTTTATTATGTGGATATTTGCGATTCCCCCCTTCCCTCTCCCCCCCCCCCTCTCCCCTCCCCCTCTCCCCCCTCTCCCCTCCCCTCTCTCCCCCCTCCTTCGACCCAAGGTGTTGGATTCCTATCCCCTTTGGGAGCCAGCCCCCTTCACTTTCACGGACGTCGCGAAAATTTTGAAAGTCACTTGCAGGGGTTATAATATCGTTATAAAATCGTGCGAATGACTTGTCTGTACTTGTAAATAATTAAGATAATTTTCAAGATTTTTTTCAAAATTCATTTTAGCCTTTTAATTAAAACATTTTTTCGGGGGCGTGGTGTCAGCCACGCCCCCTTTTTCTGGAATTTCAGGGTTCTGAGCCCGCGAAAATTTTAGAGAGCATATAAAAAATTTTTTGGAGTGCGTGGTTGACGCCACGCATCCTTTATCGGAAAAAAATTCTTGTCCCCATCCCCCCCCCCCCCAAGCCAAAATCCTGAGTACGCCACTGGTCTCAGAATATCGCATCTGTGGTGATGTTGCTTTAATTTTAGAGCGGATAAAGTGGGGAAAGAGTGTGAATATGGCGCAGGTCTTTGGACAACCACATTCTTTTCGCCATCCTAAATTCGCATGTGAGGCACTCGCGCTGCGAATACATACATCTCACTGTTGTCGTTGTAGGTCAACAACTCTTACAAAATGTTGAAAGAACTCACCAGTGTCTTCCTTAGTCTGTACTTGGCTAATAACAACTGTGGAGTTCCTGCTGCCGACATATTCGCCGAATCCGTCGAGATGGTAATGCCGAGCAAACACAACCTTGATGGCATAATTGGATGTAAGTAGATACTGTTGCTTCCATCGAAAACTTTGAAAAATTTTTTTTAACTAAACTTAAAAACAAATTTCCTTACCCCTATGTTGCAGTATCTATGAACGTGCCAACATTGGCAATTACTACCTTTCTATTCAAAAAAAAAACTTGGCTTTCTATGCGTCTCATGAATGTATATCGTACTAGCTGGCAAACCCGGCTCCGCCCGGCACTGTCAATAATATTATCCGTAATCAGCATGCTCACTTACCGCCCTGTGCAAACTCTCAGCTCCGTAACTCGAACTTTTTCAAAAATCAATAAAATCGATATGAATCGATGGCGAAAAGTAGCCTATGACACCCGCCCGGCCCCGAAGTGTATGTGTGCCAAGTTTAGTCCAAATTGGTTCAGAAATAAAATTTTTTATTCCGCACATACGTACTGACAGACAGACAAACAGACAGACATACAGACAAACACACATTCAGTTTTATATATAAGATTGTCCCAATTTTTTAATCCTGTGGCTCGACAGCTGCCAGCGGGATAAAGGCTGTCTAAGTTGGTTCGACTTGAAACCTGAGCTGTGAAGCTTTACAGAGGCTCCTCTCAGGCATAACGATGTTTGCATTTGCATTTTAGGTTCTTTTTGGATCTAACAATAAGTATCCAGGATGTAGTTGTTCGTCCCTTTGTTAGAGTTATTGTTGAAATCACTTTTATTTCGGCTTATGTTCTCCTGCTTTAAATTAACTTTTAACCCAAATTGAATTCTAAATTGAATTCTTTGTTAAAATTTTTTCAAACTAAACTTAAAAACAAATTTCCTTACTCATATGCTGCAGTATCTAAGAACTACCAACATTGGCATTTACTACCTTTTTATCCAAAAAAAACTTGCCTTTCTATGCGTCTTATGAATGTATATTGTACTAGCTGGCAACCCCGGCTCCGCCCGGCACTGTCAATAATATTATCCGTAATCAGCATGCTCACTTACCGCCCTGTGCAAACTCTCAGCTCCGTAACTCGAACTTTTTCAAAAATCAATAAAATCGATATGAATCGATGGCGAAAAGTAGCCTATGACACCCGCCCGGCCCCGAAGTGTATGTGTGCCAAGTTTAGTCCAAATTGGTTCAGAAATAAAATTTTTTATTCCGCACATACGTACTGACAGACAGACAAACAGACAGACATACAGACAAACACACATTCAGTTTTATATATAAGATTGTCCCAATTTTTTAATCCTGTGGCTCGACAGCTGCCAGCGGGATAAAGGCTGTCTAAGTTGGTTCGACTTGAAACCTGAGCTGTGAAGCTTTACAGAGGCTCCTCTCAGGCATAACGATGTTTGCATTTGCATTTTAGGTTCTTTTTGGATCTAACAATAAGTATCCAGGATGTAGTTGTTCGTCCCTTTGTTAGAGTTATTGTTGAAATCACTTTTATTTCGGCTTATGTTCTCCTGCTTTAAATTAACTTTTAACCCAAATTGAATTCTAAATTGAATTCTTTGTTAAAATTTTTTCAAACTAAACTTAAAAACAAATTTCCTTACTCATATGCTGCAGTATCTAAGAACTACCAACACTGGCATTTACTACCTTTTTATCCAAAAAAAAAACTTGCCTTTCTATGCGTCTTATGAATGTATATTGTACTAGCTGGCAACCCCGGCTCCGCCCGGCACTGTCAATAATATTATCCGTAATCAGCATGCTCACTTACCGCCCTGCGCAAACTCTCAGCTCCGTAACTCGAACTTTTTCAAAAATAAATAAAGTCGATATCGATCGATGGCGGGAAGTAGCCTGTGACACCCGCCCGGCTCCGAAGTGTATGTGTGCCAAGTTTGGTCCGGATCGGTTCAGAAATGGAATTTTCTATTCAGAACATAGTACATACATACATACATACATACATACATACATACATACAGACAGACAGACAAACATACATTCAGCTCTCTATATAGATTAGACAACCGAAAGTACGTGATCTGCAAAATCTTTTAAGTGTTGTGCAGGTCAGTAACAGCAAAAACAGGCTGCTGACTTATTTTATAAGATAGCGAATCTCTATGCATTCAAGTAGTTTTCTCGTGTTGTCCGTTTTGACTTCACTGTAAGGTCATCATTATCTTCACGAGTGCAGATAGTAACCGTAATCACTATCTACGTAATCAAATTGGGGGACGAGTGACGTAGATGTATGAACCGCCGCTGTGACTTGGTCAGACGACGGTTCGTCCCGCCCTTGGGTCAATCAAGCTTTCTACCCTGAGGCTGTAAGTTGGTACCACAGTAATTTGAGAGGATAAAAGCATTGAATTGGTGAGCAGCTGGCCCGCGCAAGTTTCTGTGATTAGTCCGCGCATTTAGTAGCCTCTTCAACTATGAAGTAGAATGTGTTCGGTGCGTAGCCGCGGAGGGTTTTGAAGACGCTGAATCCTGTATTCTTCATTATATATGAAGCTGAATGTCTATCTATCTGTCTGCCCGTCCATCTGCTCGTGTCTGTCTTTCTGTCGGTCTGTTATATCTGTACTCAGAGTGTCATTGGGAGTGACGGGTGCGGGTTGGTGCTCCGGTAACGCGCGGCCGCCTTGCTTGGGGTTTGAACCTTTTCGTGCGTGCTCCCTATCATTTTCCCACCACGTGCGGGAAGGCGGAGCTCACAAGGGAAGCATGTTTAGTCGAAGTGGCCTTTCCAGACGAGACCCTTACTGCTTTGAAGAGCATTAAGCGGTGATTCCAAATCTGCCTTCCAAATCTGCCAAGCGCTTCTGCACGTCAAGTTATGGGCGTTTTTCAGATCAAAAAATTGAAGTCAAAACTGGAGCAAAATCGCCCAAATTTGCTCAAATGGTCCAATGTCAAGCATCAAAGCCGTTTATGCAATGGATACATTTTGTCTAATATGCTAATACTTAACAATGCTTTATCCGGGCGCTGAAAAGATTGTAATAATCGGTTTTACCTAAATTTTGCATTCATTTTTCGTTCCAAAAAACGGTCATAAGTCGGCGTCCAGAGGCGCTTGGCAGATTTGGAAAGCAGATTTGGAATTGCCGTACAGTACTCTTTAAAGCAGTACGGGTATCATCTGAAAAGGCCACTTCGAGTAAATACGCTTTCCTTGTTGGTTAAGCCTGGAAAGTGACATAGAGATCGTGCCTGCAAGAGAGGTGCAGAGCCTAAGCGAGGCCGCGCAGTACCCTTCCAGCATTCGTCACTCCCAATGACATAGAAAGTGCATATGTATGCATGTATGTATGTTCGTATATTTCAAGTAGAAAAGTTCGACTTTGAATTTATACGGACTACTTTACGTACCTGTCGGGGGAGGGGGGGGGGGGGGGGGGAGGGGGTGTCGCTACTTTTCGCTGTCGATCGTCATCGATATTATCGATTTTTTTGCAAAAATTTCGCGACCCAATCTGGGGGGGGGGGGCGCCCCCCCCCCCGCCCCTCTCGGTACGCCACTGACATACAGTAAGCATAATAAAAAGCTCCAAAATTATAACAGCATCATTATCGTAATTAGCATGCCGTTAATCCCTAGGGACCAGGATTCAGCGAATCCTGAGGTTTTCAGATACTGGCCACCCAAGTGAAATGGCCGTTTTCGAACATAACTAAGTTTCAGAGGTGAGTTGACTACTTTTTGCACATGATAAAAAGTACTTTTTTTACACGTGTTAGGAATCACACTGCAAATAATCGCAAATTCATGGAAGCCCAAATCTCGTTTGTCCTATCTTCCGCTTGCATGTTCCAGACTAGAGAAGACTAATCAGGCTCAAATCACTCCTGTGAAAACTACGAGGTTTAGGCTATCGAATACATACAGAGTGTCCCAAAAAAATGTGCCTACTGTTTGATTGTAAATAACTCTCTTGTGATGATGTGTTTCGAGATGCTTTAGGTGCCATTTTATAGAGCGAGGTTGAACTTAGATTTACAGCATAGAGCGAATCACTGATCTCTCTTCACTATTGTAGGATTACGCTAAGAGCTTCCAACATATGGATTTAATGTGAAATTTACTATTTAATAAAACTTTTTTCAAAAATTCTGAAAAATCGTGTATTAGGGTTTTCGCGCATGCTGATTCTACCTAACAACTTTTTACGAGTGTTTTCAGCTTTTTTGACGCTGTAATTACATTTCTGACAAATGCTGGGAACTGAGTTATTACGATTTACCGGGGATAACTTTGGAAAGAAGCATCATAGAAAAATGGAAATTTCAAAATCGGAATCAGCGGCTCCAATTACCGTAGTACAAGAGTTTTTGGCTTGTTTGGTTCTGTTCGGAGGCCGAATATAGCCTCCAATGGCCCTAAAATCCTTGTCGAATTTTGTACCGTAATCCTACAGTAATGAAGAGCGATAGACGATTCGCTCCATACTGCAAATCTAAATTTGACCTCGCTCTACAAAACGGTACCTAAAACATCTCGAAACACTACATTACAAGGGAGTTATTTACGATCAAACAGTAGGCACATTTTTTTGGGACACCCTGTAGATTCTTGCTGCCTTCCACCGCGATCCACGTGGCGCTGACTTAGGGCCGCATGCACTAACATTTCCGCTAGGGGATCGCAGCTTCAGAAGAAAGCATCATATTCTGAAGCTCCGGATATCTGGATTTCACGCTGTCTACCTGTCCGTAAGTACTCCGACCATCCTTCCCTATGAACATATTGAGCAGAAGCGAGAAGCTGTACAAGCCGCATTTCCCAGCTTTTTGTAGGATCCCCTGATGGTCCCTGGGGGACGAACATCTATTCTTCAAACTCATTTTTCTTTCTCCGAAATCAACGAAAACCCTCCATATACTGAACATCTAACACAACAGTGCTAAGCATGTTGTTGATGAGAACAAATGAATTTTTGAAAAATCGAATTTTTCGATATACCCCAAATTTCGACCTGTGGACCATTGAAAATTTCATGACTTTAAAACATCATTTGTTCTCATCAGCAACATGCTTAGCACTGTTGTGTTAGATGCTCAGTACAACTTTGGAAGATTTTCGTTAACTTCGGAGAAAGAAAAACTGCTCTAAAGAAAAGCGCCGGGGATCATCAGGGATCATATAAAAGCTGGAAAATGCGGTTTGTACAGCTTCTCGTCCCTGTTCAACATGTTCATAGTGAAGGATAGTAGGAATACTTACGGATGGGTACACAACGTGAAATCCAAGTATCTGGAGTTTCGAAATATGAAGCTTTCTTTTAAGCTGCGTCCCCTCCCCGCGGCCATGTTAGTGCATGCGGCCCTTAGCATGCTACTGTACCAATATGTCGCATTTGCTTAGAGTATGAAAAACATTCTGATTGAAATTCCTACTGCGTAAAGAAAGAGGTTTAGCAGTGGCAACGGCAAGGAAACAGATATCTGAATGCTTTGAAGGTAACTTAAAGGGGTGTGGCACAACCTTTGAAAAGGTGAGGTAGCCACAACTTTTCTGGGGTTGTGCCATGCCCCATTAACTTATATCCAAAAGGCTTTCAGCGAACAAAATATACACCGTTTGAGGGCCGAGTTCTCGTAGTTTCCTTATAAGTTATTAGAGCTAAATTCGTTTTTTTCTGAGCGATAGTTGCTGGAAGCACTGTTACTGCAAGCAATAATGGGTCAAATCAGATTTTGACTGGCTCCTAATTCCATAATTCCATAATTAAATGTTATTTGCAGCAGAATTTATGGAGTAGGCAAACAGGAAGTAGTGCTTTGTATTGAATACAAAAGGACAGCTACTTCACACATAAATCAAAGTTGATCATGTTTAAAAAGGCCGTTTCACTCCGGTGGCCCGACACTGGGAACCATCAGAATAGCTAAAACTTGGCCCACAAGGGTTTGTTTGGCATGCTAGTTACAAATTCATTACTAATTATGCTTGATATAGCCTCAGTGTTATGCGTATGCTAGGAAAACGGTTATGCTGGCGGTGGAGGGAGACAAAACTTGGGAGGGTCATTTTCAAGGCTCAGCGAAGGAGGCGCTTTCACACGCTGGATGTCGTTTTTGCGGGGGAAGCAAAGGGGAACCCGTAAAGAATCCTGACTAAATATTAGAAGAAGGTCTCACATAATCTAACTAATTACAGGTAAATTAACATGTTACAAATAGGACAGTCAAAAATATAAACAGTCGATTTGTTTACAGCGAGTAGGCAGTGTTGAGCCATCAAATTTGGTGTGTACATCTGCGGCGATGGTCAAAAGAAAAGTACGAAAAATCATGAAAAAAAATCATGTGAACGAGAGGGGCTGTAAATGTTTTCGATTTTAGGTTGCTCCTACGCAACCTGGGAGCACCCTGAGGTTGCGCGGAACCAGACAAAATCATGAATCTTCGCAATTCTCCCCCATCCTCACAACAATTTTCCGAATTTTTTTCACATAAATCTATTATCTAGGTCAAGCTCTACCTATTAGGGCTCACCTTGACTGTTGATAACATAGGATAATTATCGACCATTATTGTTACCCTATACATCATTCTTGTCGACAAGCCTTCCTAGCGTGGAACACTTAAGCCGCCAAGGTCACCCCCCATTGCTGCTCGATAGCACACTTGGCGGCTACTTTATTACTTTCATGTAATCACCAGTAGTTTTCGAGCGATTATTGTTTGCCAGAAGGGAGCAGCTAGGTTGCCACGCCCTAAAATAGTGTCATAAGTAGACCTGAATGCTCACTTCTTGATCAGCCTCGCTAAATCTACATTATACTAGATTGTTCCCGAATAAACAATTCCTACAACGTAGTGGCATCCAATATTGGTCTACTCCAAATTGACCCAAGTTTCGTCCCCTACGCTTTGTTCCGGCTCTTGACGATATAAAAACAGCATTTTTTTTTTGCATTTCGCTCTTCAATGTTTGCTTCACTCTTATCCTTTCTTCACTTCAGTTCAATTTTTTTTCGTTGCATATTCTAAGAGTTTCTATAAACACTACAAAAGGTATCTCGTATTTTCTGCAATGTGAAAGGGGACTTGGTTTTTGAATTTCTCATATACTTCGTGCTCGGCCCTGGTCGTATTTGGCGGATGCGGTGCAGGGACCAAAGGCCTGCCACCTGTAGTCGTAGGAGATAATTAGGAGGCGAGCGTTGTGGTGAAGATTTTGGCGAGGACATCTATTAGGAACAAACCCTTATGTCGCGCTACACGACTTCCATTTTTACCAAAAACAGAGCCTTCAGAAATCACTATCAAAAGGAGGAATCTCAAGTTCATTGTTGTTTGAAAGATTTTGAATGAATTTTTCAAAGTGAAATCTCTGGATTCGAAGCTAAAGTAGGTAGTGCTAATCAGGAATATATTAACTAAGTTGCGTGTAATGCACTTTTGCTACCGCGTAAATGCTCGAAAGGATGCCGACATAGTTTCATCGGCGAATCCTTCAAAATCACTAGTGTCAAATTTTAGCATTAGAATTGGTTTAAAGTTATGAGACAAACTATTGCGTATTGACACAAGCCTCCAGACATTTTTTATAACATTGGTTGTTTTGGTTTATTGACTCAAAAGGCAAACTATTGCTTTATCTAAAAGAAAAAAAGAATGGATTTTGAGTGATTCCGCTTTTAAAAATTTGGAACTTCAAAATCCATAACACAAAGTTCCTATAAAGAGGCTGTCTCTTCTTACCACTATAATTTCCAATTTTCACTTATTTCTAGCCCAGTGAATGTGCCTTCTAATTTGCATTACAAATCGGTCTTTCAATATTTTTCAGAGTTATCCCCAGGCAAAGTTATAAAGATCGTTCCTAAAGGTTGTCCTTGCAAAAATATTCGCCACAGTGCTTGCTCTTAATTATCTCCTGCAGATACGGGCGGCAGCTCTTTGGTTCCTCCTGCACCGCCCGCGTGTTCGGCAGTTGTGTGCCACGCCTCATGCTCGACTCTGGCCAGCTAGTCGGATGGCGCTTACGCCGCATTGGAATTTTGTGCTTCGATTCGCCTCAGATTTGGCCGGTGGAGAGGGTTGGTGACCTACATCAATCCTAAAAACTCATTGAACGGTAGCTGTTATTGACCCAGAAACAACATTCAGAAATTCATTGTGCTGATGTAATCGTGTGCGTTCACCAGCATTTTCTGCAGCTCTATCCACATGGACTCTATGTGCACTACTCTGTGTTTATCGTCGATTGCGGCTTTGTCCGCAGTGCGCTACGGTGGGATACCGAAAGATTTTGCAAGGTAAGAGTCGGTTGTTTATTAGTTTTATCTTTGGTCTTGTGCGCCATCGGCATTCTAGCACATTCGGGCAACGGCTCTAAGGAAAGCCTCTTATAGGGCTCTGTAGGATCGCGGGAGTCGGGAGTTTGCGACCATTGCGCACGCAGGATGCTACAAGGCCTCAAACCACCCAAACAATCCTGTACTTTCGGAATCGCTTCAAATAGTTGGAAGCTTACATCTGATAGCAGAAAAACGTCTAAAAGGAGAAAGAAAACCGAGAAAGCTCAATGCGCGAGCAATGGCCGCAACTCACCGACTCTCGCGATCCTGCAGGCCTCTATACTGCTAAACTACTGACAAGGGAACCGTGTCAAGTCGAAGTGGCCTTTACAGATGAGACCCATACTGCTTTGAAGAGTATTAGACGTTGATTCCAAATCTGCTTTCCAAATCTGCCAAGCGCCTCTGGACGCCGAGTTGTGACCGTTTATCGGAACGAAAAACGAATACAGAATTTAGGTGAAAATGATTGTTACAATCTTTCCAGCGCTTAGGAAAGCAATGTTAAGTATTAGCATATGAAATAAAATGTATCCATTACATAAACAGCTCTGATACTCGACACTGGACCATCTGAGCAAATTTGGGCGATTTTGCTTCAGTTTTGCGTTCAATTTTTTGACCTGAAAAACGAGCATAACTCGGCGTCCAGAGGCGCTTTGGCAGATTTGAAAAGCAGATTTAAAATCTTTGATTGATGCTCTTCAAAGCAGTATGGGTCTCATCTGGAAAGGCCACTTCGACTTGACACGGTTCCCTTGTGAGTTTGCGAATATTGTTTGCTGCTTTTTTCTATTGCTGGATATTTTCTCGAGTAGCGGTGGAAAACATTTAAAGCGAAATGAGTTTATTGAAAACGTGTACATCACGAGAACCCATGGAGGCGACAATACGTATAATATGTTAGCAGTGTGATTCCCCCGTCACTCCTGCGCATTTTTGCTTATCGCGTCGAGTCATGTATTGGCTCCGACGCTCACATACTCAGACAACGGACTGGATCCATCCGGTGGGCCAATGCGGTACCGGGTTAGCGAAACAAAGAAAAAACATTGAAAAATGTAAAAAAAGGTCATTTATGACCTTTCTCGCAATTTTCGGCTGGCACCATGCAGCTACACTGTAGTTAATGCGGCTGCACCGACATTGTGCCAGCCGACGACAAGTCCATGCAAACGACGGCAATACCTGGAAAAAAATTATGGGGAAGTTTTATATACTGATGGAGCTTTTTCAGCCCTATCAGCCAATATACAGCATTCCGTGAATTTTTGCCATCCCCCAAAAACATCCGAAACCTTCTTTTGGTTCGAAAACCTCATTTTTGTCTTCTACTGACTCGATTAAATGAACAAATCAAGAATTTTTTGAACTTCATGCTCAATCAAAAGATCTCATCATGCTCTTTCTACTAGTTCAAACCTTTTTCCCTTCAAACGCGTTTCAAAGCGATTTTGGATTATGTGAAACAGCAAAGATTAAATTTAGACATATTCCACAGATTAGACGCCCCAATTGATGGTACTGACCAGTGCAAAGAGCAGCTGAGGCTTTTACGAGAAGACATACACTCGAAACTTTCTCTATTTTGCAATAGCCAGCCAATAGGCATGCACTGAAAGGTTCCTCTAAGATAGATAGCCAGGCGAACACCAAAAGTGATGGTTTGAGTGTGAAAGTTCAAAGTTTGAAAGTGCATTCGCGCGAAAACCTGACACTGGTACTTGAAAAAAAGCAGCTTAAAACAACACATCAAAAACGCCGATTAGCAACACGAAATGTGGAAAGGAACGCGGGAAACAGATCTGAGCAAGCCGAAAGCAAGAGCAACCTATTTTCGAAAATGCATAAGCTGAGTATTAGCGTAAAAGATTGGCTGCGTACTATAACTGCCCCGGAGGTGCTGTACCCTTAGGAATCCCCGGTTTTCGCAAATTTCTGGCACCTCCGGGACACGTGCTCGGAAGTCTATGTCTCGGCTTTTTGTGACGTCACCGCGAGCGAACCGCTTCACGCGGCATGTTCAATGGTTAAGAGCGTGCCCCGGAAATGCCAGAGGTTGTCGCTGTCCCCCGGAAGTCTTTTGCGATTGTCTGATTAGCTATTTCGGCAGCAGGTCACGCTGATGAGTAAGAGTCTTTGTGTGCGAAATTCAGAAGTGTTCCTACCTCTACACCCCTAGCGACACATCTGCGAACACTGCGATATCTGGAGAGGGCATGTCGGATATTAAGATGGTTTTTGCCAAAGAGTTGCATAGGTTTTTCCCAAAGAGTTGCGTACTATTGGGTATACAGAAAATGTTGATTCCTTATTCTACTTCTTTTATTTGCTGGACTCAAAGTTTCAAGCATAGAAGTTGTTCATGCAAAGTGTGGGTTTAGACATACCTATCAACGGGACGTCAACCGATTTGGCTGTACCCTTTGATTCAACTTCCGATTTGGGATTGGCGGCTGGAAGGCGGGCTTTAAAGCTTAAAGGCAGTGTCTCACCAAAGTTGAGTTTGCGCGGATCTTCACATATTCTATCATACGGACCTCTAAATAGGCCATTGCAACAACTCCCACTCAATTTGACCCCCTCCGCACTGAGAAAAATTTGCTCAAAGTGGTACGCGGAGGGCGACTTGGTTCGCGCGGACGACTCCTTCGGTCTCCCCCCCCCCTACGCGTTTGAACATGTCCCTCCACTTGGCATCCACCTCCTCTGTGTTGCTGCCACTGTGGTTGAGGCTGAAGTAGGAAGGTACCACTTGTTCACGTTGCTTCCGCGGGGCCTCCAGAAAACGGGGATTTTGGGAAGTGCAATTTTAGGCCCATACTGCTAGGCAGGGTCCGACAGGCTTGCAAAATGCAGAAAACTCGGCAACTAAATTTTGGTGAGACACTGCCTTCAATGAAGGCTAGAGACTGATTAAAGAGCGCGCTTGCGAGAGAGAGGCAGACTGCGTCGCGGGTGCGAACGGTCGCCTTTCTTCCGCCAGTCCCGATGGATCAAAGGGTAGATCGCGCGATCCGGCTGATTGTTGCGAAGGCACAACTTGCGCAACAGTGATGCAATCTATGGCGCGGTCAATGACTCGACGGTTTGATTTGCGCAATGCTGGGCCAAAACATATAAGTAGATTGCTCTATAGAATTCATGCCCTAAATTGAGCTGAACTGGCTGCAATATACCGCACGAATTCGTCCACAAAGACGCTCAATAGGTACGGAAGATAAATTTGCAGTCAACATTCTATGCTCCTTCCAATAATATGCAGCTTGTTTATAATACTACTTCAACTTCTGAACATACTCTTGCAAGCTCGATGCTGCAGTTACTGGAATGGTGCCGAAACCAGTGTCTTAAGTCTAAAAATTAGCCGCTTAGACTTTCGCCGACTTGGGAACACTGTAGACAGTCGAGTTCGTGTTCCATCTGATTTGGCAGTTTATAAAGAATTGGACAGACTTGTTGACCTCGGACTACTGGAATCGGACACGAAAGCAGATAACATGGTTTTTAGGTAAGTTTTGCTGTGATAGTTGAGTCCTGACTTGAAGAATTACATCTGCTTCAGGCGATGTTCGCTGAATCTAGACGGTCAAACTCTCTGTGAAATGCTGCAGGAAATAAAATTTCCATCAGCAATCGATTACTGGCTTGATACTTCGGCAGTGGATTGACTGCTTGATGTTTTCGTTGTCAACTCATCTTTTCGCATGTATACTGAATTTTGACTTTGCCACCGTCTTTGTTTGGTTTTCTTCGAGTCAACATAAAGTGTAATCGTGACAATAGTTTCCAGCACTATACCAACACAATCTAAAAATCGGAATCTTGGATTTTGCAAGAATTTTGCACACAGGATTACACGAAATGCAAAATGATACTATTTTGCATGATTTTTTTAATGCAGTTACTAGCTGGCTTACCCGGCTCCGCCCGGCCCTGTCAATGCTATGATTAAGGTCTTATCCCTATCCCTGTAGACTCTTTCATTGTGCCCACTTCTACATGCAATTCCCTATTCCCGCTGTGTTAGTAACTAGCATGCCCACCTACCTTCCTCAACAACCCCCAGCCCCGTAGCTCAAATTTTGCGAAAAAAACCCCCAATAAATTCGGTAAAAGTAAGGGTAAATCTGAAATTGATGGCGTTATTCGGCTATCCGGCCCCAAAATGTTTTCGTGAAGGATCTTGGTCAAAGTCGGTACATAGGGATTATTAAAGCCGCTGATAACGAATATCGTAGTCATATCGCGCGATAGCGCCGTTTTTTGGGTTTACGTTGGGTACACAGAAGCTAAAATCATGGATTTCGCTGAAATTTTGAGGGGGCTAATTGACATGCTGATTAGGAATATCATACTCCTTCGGCATTTTGAGGCGATTTCACTGAGTTACGGTAGGTATACCCTGCAGAGCCGCAAGGTTTCAGTTTTGGCTGAAACTCGGTTTAGAAAGATTCGAACTTCTGACCATGTTCAAAACACTCTCGTTGCGTTTTGAGACCTTTTCGTAGAGTTACGGTAGGTACATGGCAGCGGGTAAAAATCATGGACTTGCTTGAAACCTTGGCAGAAAATTACCTAAAGTGCTGTTTCAAGAATATCGTGCTCAGTATACTTGGGTCCGAATCGAATAGAAATTCGATCATTCGAATAAAACATTCGAATATATTCGTATTCGAAATCGATATTCGGAGTTCTTCTATTTTCGAATAATATTCGAAACTCGAATAATCAAAAAACAGGGTTTCGAGTAATATTCGAAGACTCGAATAATCAAAAAACGAGGTTTCGAATATTATTCGAAAACTCGAATAATCAAAAAACGGGGTTTCGAATAGATTTTATTCAAATGTTTTATTCGAATGTTTATTCGAATTCGTATTCGAATGACTCCGTATTCAGATTATTCGACTTTGTTGCAAAGCCAACTGCTGAGTATCAAGCTCATTTCGTCCGCTTTTTTTTTTCGCAAAACTCGGTAGTGCATCTTTTGCAACCGTTATACCTTTGAACTGTATGGAGAGTCGCATTCTTCCGACTGCTTGCGATAGTAAAAAAATCATATGTGGATTTTAATTGATGTAAAAAGTAGAGCGAGCCCTTTTGCTTCTACATTGTTGATGCTGATAAGAAATAAAGTTAACTCTGGTTACATCAGTCTCTTTCAGACCATCTGAAGAAGAATCTTTTGGGAACAGCATAAAAATTTATATCGACTGCTTTTTAAATCGTCCATAATGGGTAAAATATGATTTTTTGCTGATGGATAGACTAGATGCCGATGGATAGACTAGATGCCAAAAATCGATAAAATTGATAAACCGACTTTATCGATTTTTGGGGAAGTTTAAGCTACGAGCTTGGGAGTTGGTACAGGGGGTAAATGAGGATGCTGATTAAAACCGAAATCTATTTTATCGATTTTAGCAATTTTTGGAAAATTTTGAGCTAGGAGTTGGCATAGGGGATACTAGGGGGCTGATTATGATTGGATCGGCTCTAGCCAATATGTCGGCAAGTATGAGATGTGATTGCTTTAGTTATTCGATAAACATTCGAATTATTTGGAATTCGACTTCCAATGTTCGAATATATTCGATATTTATTCACTCGATATTTTTGATTTTCCGAATTTATTCGAAATTCATTCATTCGATATTTTTGTTTTTCTGAATTTATTCGAAATTCATTCATTCGATATTTTTGATTTTCCGAATTTATTCGATATTCGTTTATTCGAAATTTTTCCTTTTCGAATTTATTCGATATTCATTCATTCGATAAGAAATTCTCGAATTACCCAAGTATAGTGCTCAGTCCCCACGATAAAGGCAATTCGTGTGGTATAAAAGTTTCCCACGACCGTAATGCTTTCCCTTATAGGACTACTGCCGCGCGCGATACACCCTTCGGCGGCCTTTGCCTAAAAAAACAGGGAAGGGAGATTTGACGCGTGCGTTACGCGTTGGGACAGGTTATCAGTTTCCTTATAGGACCACTGCCGCGAGCGATACACCCTTCGGCAACTTTTGTTTAAGCAAAAACAGGGGGAGGGAGATTTGCGTGCGTTACGCGTTGGGACAGGTTATCAGGATGGCGGTGAAGACCGCCATGCAAAACGGCCGTTTCCCCATTTCGTGAATATCTGGGATCTAAATTGGCCCGAAAGCGAATAAATGTCCATTCAAACCCTGCAGCTCACCATAACTTCACAATAATACGTTATGGCAGCGAGCAAGCATCATATTCATAAGCGATATACTTATGAACCGTTGCAGGTAAGGTTTTGAGCAAATCTGGAACTTCGACCTACACCCACCGTAACCCAAGAAAATGCACTATCCTGCGAAATCAGCATGATATTCATGTTCAGCGCGCTAAATGACCACCCTAAACGAAGTTTAAAGCAAATCTATGTTTTCGACCTCATGCCATATAACCACCACAACTCTATGAAAAAGTCCCAATTTGCAGAGAGAGATGATATTTGTAATTAGTATGTCGAATAAATCCTCTCCACTGAACTCCAGCCGAATTGATGATTTTGACTTCCTACCGTACACCTATCGTAACCACACGGGAAGACGTTCTGCGGAGAAAGTGTGATATCTGTAATCAGCATGTAAAGGGCCGGGCATACTTCAAGCGATTTCAGTCGCGACGCAAATTGGCAATTCGCCAGAAGATTTCGGATCCAACATTAGGAAACTGCACATGCATAGTGTGTATAGTCGTCCTCACCCCACTAGTCGGTCGGTGGTCGAATTTGAATTCGAACTGGAGCAGGCCGGCCGCGGCAGAGCGCGGCAGATCGCCCCTCAGCCAACCATTTGCACATAGCTTTTCTCTTATTTTCTTCGTGTTTCACTGCTATCTCTCGTATTGCGGCAATGTTCTTAATCAGATTTTCAAATCTGGTACCGCTAACTATTGTTTTGTGCAGTAGTGCTCGTTTGTTTTACATTTTTTCCAGGTAACTCGGGAAGAAGGATGCGATTGGAGATTTTTGGGTGAGAAATCTCTTCCCCAGTGAGTGACATATACAAAAATGTGATTTGATGAACTTTATCACAGTATTTCGTTAAAATGTATACTCTAAACCATTTTAGCGCTGAAATTCTCTCAAAATGTGTTTGTTTCAAAGAGTTATTGATACGAAATCTGAAAATCTGATTAGAAACATTGCCGCGATATGAGGGATATCAAAGAAACACGAAGTAATAAGAAAAAAGCTCGTGCAAGCGGTTGGCTAAGGGCGGTCTGCCGCGCTCTGCCGCGGCCGGCCTGCTCCAGTTCGAATTCAAATTCGACCACCGACCGACTAGTGGGGTGAGGACGACTATATAACTTACGTAAACTGATGAAATGTCCTATCTTCCGTACATTTATAATGTACTTACAATGAGTTATGGACACTTTATACTTACTTAGATGGCCCGTCCTCACGTGACGTGCGGGCCCCAGTACAGAAGTTGCCATTGATCCCTGTTCCTCGCTTCGGACATTCACGATCTTCTTTGTCGTCGTCGGTGGCTACGTCCACGGGTTCCAGGGGCGAGAATCGTATCTAGCTGATTTTCTCAGCTGGTCCATCCGTTCCACGAACACGTCTGCCCATCTCGTCGGTGGTCTTCCTCGAGGACGTTTGGCTTCGCAAGGAATCCACTCAGATGTTCTTAGTGTCCATCTATCGTCCGTTCTTCTCGTTATGTGAACGGCCCATCGGTGTTTCGCTGTCGCAACGTATTCCGCTGGGTCACGAAGACGGGGCATTCTTCTCATATCCGGGCTGCGAAGTCCGACGGATGTTGCTTGTGTCGGTCATCTTCAGAAGACTGCGCTCGAGTGCTCTGTGGGTGGTCCTTAAAGCTTTCGACGTGGCTACGGTGTCGGCCCAAGTCTCAGCTGCGTAGCAGAGTGCTGGGAGAACGGTTGAGTCGAACAGGTGGGCACGAAGCTCCGGGTCCGTCAGTTGGTCGGTGGCTTCCTTCAGAGGCCCGAAGGCGGCCCAGGCTGCTCTTCTTCTCCTGTTAAGTTCTTCCCTCAAGTCGTTCTCCATGTTCATCGAACGTCCGAGATACACGTAAGAAGACGTCTCCATGATAGGTGTGCCTTCCAATTCCATTTCTGCATCTTTGCAAAGTGCGTTCTTCATAAACTGAGTCTTCCTCCGATTTATTCGCGATCCGATCTTCTTCCCTACTTCATTTAGTTCCTTCAGCATCGTCTCTGCTTCATTGAAACTGCTCGAGAAAAGGACGATGTCATCCGCAAAACGAAGGTTGGATAGGAATCTCCCATCAACTCGTATGCCTCTCTCTTCCCAGTCTAGTGACTTCATCACCGACTGCAAGGCCGCGGTGAACAGCTTCGGCGAAATAGTGTCGCCTTGTCGAACCCCCTTACCAATTGGAATGGTTAGGAGGCGATGGAATAGCTGCATCGTTGTTGTACAGTCCTTGTAGCAGTCGGCTAATGTCCTCACATATGCTGGATCCACTCCTTGATCGACTAGCGCGGACAGGATGGCGTTGGTTTCGACGCTGTCAAATGCTTTCTCGTAGTCGACGAAGGTTAGGACGGGAGGCAGTCGGTGCTCCCGGCAGACTTCTATGACTCTCGAAACCGTTTGGATGTGGTCCATGCGGCTGAATCCTTTGCGAAATCCAGCTTGTTCTTAGGGTTGGGCTTCATCCAGTTTCCTAGATATGCGTGCGAGGATAATCTTCGTGAAGAGCTTGTACAGCACACTCAGCAGGCATGTTGGACGGTAATTTCGAAGA